ACTACTTCAAGAAAACATAAGAGATCTATGTAAATGGAAGAACATACCATGCTCATGGATAGGAAGATTGCACATTGTGAAAATGTCCATTCTATCCAAAGTGATCTATACTTTCAATGCAATCCCAATCCAGATCCCATCAACATTTTTTTTAAGGATATGGATAAACCAATCACCAACTTTATATGGAAAGGAAAGAGACCCTGGATAAGCAAAGCACTGTCAAAGAAGAAGAGCAAAGTAGGAGGTCTCACACTGCCAGATCTCAAAACCTACTATACAGCCACAGTAGTCAAAACTGCCTGGTACAATGGCAGACACATAGACCAATGGAATAGAATTGAGAACCCAGAAATAGATCCATCGACCTATGGTCAGCTGATCTTTGACAAAGGGCCGAAATCCACTAAATGGGGAAGAGAATGTTTGTTTAATAAATGGTGCTGGCAAAACTGGATATCCATTTGTCTGCAAGTGTATTTGTATGTTCTGTAAGAATTCCCAGGTGTATAGTAAAGCTGACAAGGGACAATGTTGTAGTCACTTCTTGGTCACAGCCAGTTACCCAGAGGGAGTGAGCAGTCGGACCTGTGGGCTTGGGACCATAGTCACAGGGGACATTAAGCTCAATTGACATAACATACTACACAAAACACTGTTCCACTTCCTACTTTGGCGAGTAGCAACTAGGATCTTAAAACCTTGCAAGCAGCCATCTACATGCAATGATGGGTCTCTCCTCGTCCAGAGCAAAGAAGAATGAAGAAAATCAAAGATTCATGGAAACAATTAGTCCTCACAACTGGTACACCATGCGATCTGCAGCCTATACGACTATGATACCAGAAGGACTAGATGGTGTCCAGCTACCACTGTCAACCACTTGGAGGGGGATCTATGGAGGAGATCCTGCATACAGAGGGAGAACAATGTGGAACAAAACTCAAAATCATTTCGAAAAAAAAAGATGGGAACCAGGTTTGCTGGTTTGATAGAGCCTGGTGGAACCACTGAGACTAGCTGCCTGTCAGGTCTGGAATTGAACCCACACCTGGGGCTTCCAGCCAAACAAAAGACAGGCATATGAGTTGAACATTTACCTGAGATAGATACACTCCTTGGAGAGATCACTCATGGGAGAATAGAAGGGCTGTGTTTGCACAGGAAGACAGCTCAGGGGGCAGGAATGCATGAGAGGGAAGGACACAGGGAAGAGGTAACTATCAGGAGGAAGTGGGAGGGGAGCTGTTGCATTGTGGGAGATTGCAGTCAATGTCATGAGACAACATGTGTGTGAACTGCTGTATGAAAAGTGAATTTGCTCTGTAAACTTTCACCCAAATCACAAAAAAAAAAAAAAAAAAAAGCTCATGAGCGGTCGAGAACAAAGCAGAGTGACAAAAATCCAAGGTGAAAGGAAACTATGAACCCAAAGGGCTGATGGCCCACGTGATCCCTCGCCTCCACATCCCCGAGACCAGGAGAACTAGATGGTGCCCAGCTACCACTGGGATCACAGTAGGAGGTTCCAGAGAAAGTGAGAGAACAATGTGGAACAAAACCAAAATCATAGAAAGGACCATGCTTGCTGGTCTGATAGAGACTGGAAACTCTGACACTATGGCCCTTAGTCACCCTTCAGGCTTGGAAGTGAACTCAGCCCCAGGGCTCAACTTTCAGCCAAAGGACAGACAGGCCTATGAGGTGAACAGTAACCCCAGGGAGGTTCACACTCCTCAGAACAGCCAACCGCACGGGATCCAAAGGGCAGCGTGTGCTCAGGGAGGAAGCTCAGGAGGCGGGAAGGGACGGGACAGACGGGTGAAGGGACACGGGAAACGCAGGGAGAAGTAGTGGGAAGACAGCTGTTACCTGGTGGGAACTGCAGTCAACGTCGCCAAACACAATGTGTGTGAACTGCTGGATGGAAAACCAACGTGCTCTGCCAACTTTCATCCAAATCACAATCAAAAACAAAAAAGACATCGGTGTCTAATTCCCGGAACTTGAAAGTGTCCCTTTTATAGCAAAATATGTGAACAAGAGAAAGATTTTGAGACAAGCATTTCTCCCGGATTGTCCATGTGATCCCTAACAGGCCTGAAACGCCACCACAGGGATCCTTCTAAGAAACGCACAGAGAGGAGGAGAAAACGTGTGAAGACAGAGGGAGGGATGTGGTGGTGCAGCCAGAGGCCCCTGAATGACGGCCCCACCAGAGCAAGAAACAGATTCGGCTCAGAGGCTTGCTGGGCATGGGGTCCTGCCCACTCCCCATCCCCTTTAGTTTTTTTTAATTTTTTATTATGATTTGGGTAAAAGTTGACAGACCATATTAATTTTCCACACTGCAGTTCACACACATTTTGTCTCATGACATTGACTGCAATCCCCACCATGTAAAGCTCTCTTCCCACTTCCTTCCCATAGGTACCTCTTCTCTGTGTCCTTCCCCCCATGCACTCCTGTCCCCTGAGCTGTCTCCCTGTGCAGACACTGCCCTTCTGTTCCCCCATGATCAATCGCTCCAAGGAGCGTATCCACCTGATGTGAATGTTCACCCCGTATTCCTATGTATTGTTTGACTGGAAGCCACAGGAGTGAGTGCAGTTCCAGACCTGAAGGGGAACTAGGGGCCATAGTCTTGGGGTCTCACCAGGCTCTACCAGATCAGTCAATCTGGACTCTTTTGCATGTGATTTTGAGTTTTGTTCCACATTGTTCTCCCACTCTATCCAGGATCTCATGCACTGATCCCCTCGGGGTGCTTGACAGTGGGAGCTGGGCACCATCTAGTTCTTCTGGTCTCAGGATCCTATTCACTGCCCAGCCCTTGATCTTGGACTTCCAGCAGCCCCAGGAACCTGAAGCCTCGCGTTGGCAGCTACCCTTCCAGGCACGGCCAGGATGCCCTGCCACCTGCCATCTGCTGGCTGCTCCTAGGCGCCCATGCCCGGCAGTAACCACCTCCAGGCCCATGCGCTCCTAGCCCCCGTGGATTGTGGGCGGTGCCATCATCCAGTGACGTAAGACGCTCTGCAAAGCGCCAGCCTGAGTTCCGCGGCAATCCCAGTCCTGCCGCGCGCCCTCCCAACACTGGGTCTGGCCGCATTTCCACCACCCCAAGCTCTGCGATGTCCGACTGCCACCCACAGCACGCAGTGGAGGAGATCAAGCTGGAAAAGACCCCAGATTCCCGAGGGGCAGGGCTCGGCAGGAGGCGGACTCCTGACCTCTCAGCACGTTGAGGATGAAGCTGAGCACTGCGCCCCCTCCTGGCGGCGGCGGTGAATACAAGGTGTAGTCGTCCAGGGGCAGCTCCAGGCTGTCTACCACGTCGGGGCGGAAGGCGGCCAGGTCCTGCAGGGTCAGCCGGCCCCCTGGGGTGAGGCACAGGGAGTTCAGGGTGTCCACATATATATGGGGAAACTGAGGCAGAGATCAGCCACTGCCTCTGGCCCCACCGGGGGTTCCATTCTTCCCCTAGACCAGCATGCATCAGTTAACCTGCAGGGTGATGATGGGGTGGTGGGCGTCAGGACTGGGGCTTAGGGAGTGTGATGGGTGGCAGGGGTCTCAATGTCAGGGGCCTGGGCGGGGACAGGGCAAGGAAGCCGAGAGAGGCCAGGCCTCCTGGAGACACAGGGGGCCCCCGGCCCTGCCAGTCTCCACCAGCCCTTAGACTCAGGAGCCAAGCCAGCACTAACCCAGTCCTTTGACTTCAGGGTCCTGAGGCCAGCAGTGGGCTGGGCTGGGAACATGTCCCGCGGAGCCCGGCGGCACCAGAGCTTGGATGACAGGGCAGTAGGCAGCCTTCCTGAGGCCCAAGGCGGCTGTACCCCTGCAGGGCCCATCAGCCCTGGTTGGAGCCCAGAACCCGGCTCCTTCTCCTGTCGGCTGGGACTCACCTTCCTTGGCGATGTCTTCCACCAGCACCTTGGCCAGAGCCCCGGTATAGAAGGCCTCCACACCCTCTGTGGCCACAGTCTCCAGGGTTGTGGCCAGTGCAGGCCACGGCAGTGGGTCCTGAGGCTTCAGGGGCTCCGTCCCATTGAAGAACAGCTGCCTGGCATGGGGAAGCAGTTGCAGGGTCCTGGGGGCAGCCTCACACCCCCAGGGGCTCCTGCAGGACCCTACAGCGCAGCCTGGGCCGGGGGGTCCTCCGGGGACCTTGTGGGCATCGGGGGCAGGCTCTCCAGGCCTGGGTGGTGCAATGCCAACCTCCCCCACATTCCCAGACACAGTTCTCCCTGGATGCTGGATGCTGGGAGCCACTCCTTGATGACAGGGAGGGGTGACAAGCCCTCCTGCCACCCAAGCCGGGGAGAGGGGCACAGTGCTGGAGGGCAGGCCCGCCAGGATCCCAGAACCCGCCTCTGAGTTAGGTTTTGGATGGGGAGCCCAGGGTCTATGGATCCCACGTCTCCTATCCTGATGGAATAGGGGGCACTGTGTGGGGCTTTGGGCCAGGGCCACCGTGGGAGCTCACCTCAGGGATGACGCGTTCAGGGCAGGCTGCAGGAGGCTGCTTTGCAGGAAGAGGCCTAAGATAGGGGGCACACGGTGGCCCCCACGCAACAATGCAATGGTAGGCTGGAACAGCTGGGCCCAGGGCAGGCGGCCATGGCGACGGTGGGCCTCGGCGTAGCCCCACAGCTCCCCAGGAACCCCGATCCACTGGGCCCCTGCGTGGCAGGCGGCCTCACTGCTGTGGGCTTCCAGGCCTGCCCCAGGGGTCTTGCATCCCACACCTGCCCCATTGGCCTTGCCCCCTTGACAGCAGCCCGAGTGGGTTTCCGGAGCAGGCACTGACACCCCTGCTCAGACCTCTGTGGCTTCCCACTGCCCTCTGGACAAAGTCCTTGGCCAACAAATGGGTCCACAGACCCCTCCCTTAGCCCCACCAGCCTTCATGACCATCTCTACTGAGCCTCCAGGTTCTTCTGCTTAAAGCCCCTCCCTCAGGAACCCCCCCTCCCGAGTTGGACAGGCACTGTCACTTGGTGGCAGGTGTCACAGCCTGTCTGGGGGCCATGCTGCCCCCTCAGGTGGGGGTCCAGCCAGCCAGCCCCAGGGCCTGGAGGGGTGGGGGAGGGCCTCTCTCTGGCCTCACCTGTGCCCAGTGGCTGGGCCCGCTCACACTGGTCCAAAAGGTCTGGGGCGGGGCTGGCAGGCACTGTCTCCCTGGCGTTGATGATCTCCACCTTCCCTGGAGCCAGGGCAGAGTGGGAGGGAGGTTAGACGAGCACTGATAGGGCCACAATGGACAAGACAGTGTAGGGTTGGGGGGTCCTTGGGCTGCGTATCTCGCCTCACACCACGTGCCCTTCAGATGGGCCCTGCAGGCTCCCTCCAGGCCTCGGCTTTCCTCTCTGGACTGCGAGATGGTGTTAACATTTGGACAGGACCTACCACGAGGGCTTTGCGCAGCCGAGGTAGAGGGGATGGCAGTGGGCCGTGGCAGGTGGGACAGGCTCTGCCCCACTATCGGGGCCTTACGAGTACGTCACGGTTTCCCAGCGTTGTGGACAAGCCCGCCACCCTCACCGTGAGGGTCCTGGGGCCCACCTGTGCTTGCATTGTAGATGGTGAAGATGACCCCTCCGCCCAGGCCCATGCTCTGAGGGTTGACGACGCTTGTGCAGACCAGGGCTGCGATGGCAGCATCCACCGGCGACCCACGCCGCTGTAGGACAGAGCTGGGGACACACGCACAGTGAGAGGCTTCCCCGCCCGGCGGCTGCCAGCAAACCAAGGCTAAGTCAGACAGCACACTGGCCAGCCCCCTCGGGCCCAGCTGCTCACAAGTCTACAGACTCCAAAGTCCAAGGCCATTTACACGGTCCCTTATTTTACAAAGGAGCCCCGGTGGTGCAGTGGAAAAGCATTCGGCTGCTAACCAAAAAGTCGGCGGTTTGAACCCACCAGCCACTCCAAGAGGGAAAGATGAGACAGTCTGCTTCCGTGAATATTGACAGCCTTGGAGACCCTGTGAGCAGTTCCACTCTGTCCTCTAGGGGCGCTGTGGGTCGGAATGGACTCCACGGCAGTGGGTAGGCACATCTCAGTTTGCACTGTGCTTCTTCGGATATTCTCTAAAAGACACTTGTAGCAGACAAGACCCCTCCCAGAGGTCCCAGGAACCCACCTGGGCAGCCCCCACTCCCCATCTCTCTTGAGGACACACTGGGCCCAACCTCTCCCAGGATGCACTTCTGCAGGCGGCCCACACGGACCATCCAGCCCCAGGATCCCCCCTGAGCACCATGGCTCGGGGAGTTCAGCCCCTCCGGGCCCCGGAGTCTCTGGGATGCCGCTGGCCTTGGGCTCCCCATCTTCACACGGGCAGGGGAAGGGTGCACATGTGGTTCCACACGGCTCACCAGGACTGCTTCTCCCCCACACTCAGAACTCTCCCCAGCGTGTAAACCCCAGTTACGGATGGGGAAGCCAAGGGCCAAAGGGAGAGGACCCAGCTAGGGCCCCTGACTCCGGCGTCCTCCCTCTGCTCAGGCATCTAGAGCCAACAGTCCTTTCTCAGCTCATGTGCCACACGGCCCCGCTCAGGCACACAGGGCCACCAGACAGACACGTGTAGTCTTTTTTTCTTTTTTTTAATTGTGATTTGGGTGAAAGTTTACAGAGCAAATTCACTTTCCGTACAGCAGCTCACATACACTTTGTCTCATGACATTGACTGCAGTTTCCCACAATGCAACAGCTCCCCTCCCACTTCCTCCCTGCAGTTACCTCCTCCCTGTGTCCTTCCCTCCATGCACTCCTGCCCCCGGAAGTATCTCCCTGTGCATACACAGCCTTTCTGTTCTCCCACGAGTGATCTCTCCTAGGAGTGTATCTACCTGATGTAAATGTTCAGCTCACATGCCTGTCTTTTGTTAGACTGGAAGCCTGTCTTTTGTTAGACTGGAAGCCACAGGAGTGGGTTCAATTCCAGACCTGCAGGGCAGTGAGGGGCTATGGTCTCAGCGGTTTCACCAGGCTCCATTAGACCAGTAAACCTGGTCCTTTTTTTTATTTTTGTAAATGATTTTGAGTTTTGTTGTACAGTGTTCTCCCGCTCCATCCAGGATCTCCTACACAGATCCCCCTCCAAGTGGTTGACAGAGACACATATAATCTGGGACCAGGAACCAGGGCACACAGCCAGAAGCCATGCAAGAAGTAAGGCTGCTTTGAGAAATGGAAGTTTCTAGTAAAAATCAAGCTCCATAAACAAAGTCAGGAGGCAAACTGGAAAATACGTTTGAAACTGAGAGAGGATTTATCCCCGACTCAATGTAGCATGTCTTCACTTCCCAGCCTGACCCAAGGGGGCGCTCCCACCCAGAAGTGTTCTCTGCACCAGGCTTCCAAGACCACCCGCAGGCTGTGGTTTCCCTCACCTCCCCAGCCTCCCGCCTGGCTGCCCGTGACGTCAGGGGCTTCTTCTCAGTCCTGGACACTTGCTCATCCATAATCTCTCCCTGGGGCACTCATTCAGGGTCATGACTTACAGAACCTCTATGCTGAGGACAGATTCTATCTGCAGCCCAGTCCTCTTCCCCGAACTCCTCCTTACACCACGCTACCCACAAGATGTCTCCCCTGGGTGTCCAAGAGGCATTCCATACTTATTAGATGCTGCCAAGCTTTGACTCACAGCGACTCCACGAATAACAGAAGGAAACACTGCCTGGCCTGGTGCCAGCCTCACGGTCCTTGCCCTGCTCAAGCCCATGGCTGTGGCCACTGTGGCAGTCCACCTGGTTGGGGGTCTTTCCCCTTCTCATTGACCCTCTACTCTACCAAGCATGATGTCCTTCTCCAGGGACTTGTCTCTTTTGATAAGTCATCAAAGTCTGAGAGAGCAAGTCCCACCATCATTGCTTCTAAGGAGCATTCCAGCTGTACTTCTTCCAAGACAGATTTGTTCATTCTTCGAGCCATGCAGCATTCCTTGTCAACTTCAAATTCAAATGTATTAATTCTTCTTTGGTCTTGTTTATTCATTGTCCAGCTTTCACACGCATATGGGGTAATTGAAAACACCATGGCTTGGGTCAGGTCCATCTTAGTCTTCAGAGTGACATCTTTGCTCTTAAACACTTTAAAGAGGTCTTTTGCAGCAGATTTGTCCAAGGCAATATGTCGTTTGATTTGACTGCTGCTTTGACAGGCACTGATTATGGATCCAAGTAAAATCAAATCCTTGACAACGTCAATCTTTTCTCCATTTATCATGGTGTTGCCGATTGATCCAGTTGTGGGGATCAGTGAGTGCTTCAAGTCATCTTCCCTTTCAGCAAGTAAGGTGGTGTCACGTGCACACTGCAGGCTGTTAATGAGCCTTCCTCCAATCCTGATGCCATGTTCTTCTTCACTGAGTCCAGCTTCTCAGATTATTTGTGTGGCATCCCACCAGTCATCTGTCAGTTTCTTGTACTGTGGTGACCTGCATGTTGTTTAGAGGCTGGAAGCTATGCCACCCAGGATTTCATATACCAGTTGGGTCTATGGTGGGTGGCTTTCAATGGAGTTTCCAGGCTAAGAGAGAGGGAAAAAGGGAGAGAAGGGCTACTTCTGAAAAATTAGTCCCTATAAACCTCAGGAACAGCCCTGAAGCACTGCTGGACACAGTGCTGGAAGATGAGCCCTTCAGGTCGGAAGGCCCTTGGAATAGGACTGGGGAAGGGTGGCCTCCTCAGAGTAGAGTCAGCCTGAACAGTGTGGATGGAGTAAAGCTTTTGGCACGACTCAAAATGGGAAGAAACAGCTGCAAACCTCCATTAATAATCAGAACATGGAAAATATGAAGTATGAATCTAGGAAAATTGCAAGTTGCCAAAAATGAAGTGGAGGCGAGTAGCAACTGCGATCTTAAAACCTTGCAAGCAGCCATCTAGATGCAATGATGGGTCTCTCCTCGTCCAGAGCAAAGGAAGAATGAAGAAAACCAAAGACACATGGAAACAATTACTCCTAGCAACTGGTACACCATGTGATCTGCAGCCTCTATGACTATGAGACCAGAAGAACTAGATGGTGCCTGGCTACCATCGTCAACCACTTGGAGGGGTATCTATGTAGGAGATCCTGGATAGAGAGGGAGAACAATGTGGAACAAAACTCAAAATCATTTGGGAAAAAAAAGGGGGGACCAGGTTTGCTGGTCTGATAGAGCCTGGTGGAACCACTGAGACTATGGCCTCTAGCTGCCCTTCAGGTCTGGAATTGAACCCACACCTGTGGCCTCCAGCCAAACAAAAGACAGGCATATGAGTTGAATATTTACCTGAGGTAGATGCACTCATTGGAGAGAACAATCATGGGAGAAAGAAGGCCTGTGTGTGCACAGGGAGACAGCTCAGGGGGCAGGAGTGCATGGAGGGATGGACACAGGGAAGAGGTAACTATCGGGAGGAAGTGGGAGGGGAGCTGTTACATTGTGGTAAATTGGACTCAATATCATGAAACAAAGTCTGTGTGAACTGCTGTATGGAAAGTGAATTTGCTCTGTAAATTTTCACCCAAATCACAATTTAAAAAACAAAAATGAAGTGGAATGCATAAAGATCAATATCCTAGGCATTAGTGAGGTGAAATGGACTGGTTTTGGCCATTTTGAATCAGACAGCCGTATGATCTACTGTGCCTGGAATGACAGATTGAAGAGGAATGGCGTCCCATTCGTTGTCAGTTCAAGACAGTGGTCATTTCCAGACCCTTCCTGAAGCACAATGCTGTCAGTGATAGGACGGTATCCACAAGGAAGACCAGTTACTTCCCCTGTTCCTCAAATTTACACACCAGCCACCAAAGTCAGAGATAAAGAAATTGAAGACTTTCACCAACTTCTGCTGTTTGAAATTGACCAAATATTAAGATGCATTGATAATTATTTGTGATTGGAATGCAAAAACTGGAAACAAAAAAGAATTATCAGTAGTTGGAAAATACGGCCTTGGTGACAGAAATGATGTAGCAGATCGCATGATAGAATTTTGTAAGACCAACATCTTATTTATTGCAAGTACCTTTTTCAACATAAATGGTGGCTATGCACATGGACCTCACCAGACGGAATGCACAGGAATCAGATCGACTCCACCTGTGGAAAAAGGCGATGGAGAAGTTCAACATCTTCAGCCAAAACAAGGCCAGGAGCTGACTGTGGAACAGACCATCAGCTGCTCAGATGCAAGTTCAAGTTGAAGCAACTAAAACAAGTCCATGAGAGCCAAAATATGACCTTGATTATATCCCTCCTAAATGTAGAGACCATCTGAAGAATAGATTTGATGTATTGAACACCAATGACCAAAAACCAGAGGAATTGTGGGATGACATCAAGAACATCATCCATGAAGAAAGCAAAAGATCATTAAAGAGGAAAGGAAGAAAAGACCAAAACGGATGTCAGAAGAGTCTCTGAAACTTGTCCTTGGATGTAGAGTAGCTAAAGTGAATGGAAGAAATGATGAAGTAAAAGACTGAACAGAAGACTTCAAAGGCAGCTTGAGAAGACAAAGTTAAGTATTATAATAAAACGTGCAAAGACCTGGGGTTAGAAAACCGAAAGAGAAGAACACACTCGGCATTTTTCAAGCTGAAAGAACTGAAAAAATAATTCAAGCCTCGAGTTTCAAAATTGAAGGTTTGTATTGACCAAATACACAATGATGTAGGAAACATCGAAAGA